ATTATACACCGACTTGAGGTCTTAGGTGGAGGTGGTCCTAAGGACGGGTTTTCTCTCTCAGCCACTGTAATCTGGAAGACTGGGGTCCTGATGGGGAGTGTTGGGGGACTGCACTCCTGACAATGGTACAGTCACAAGTAGGGGCCACAGTGAGGATGGACTTGAACCCAAACCTTCAAAGCCTCATGCCCTCTCAGCCAGATATATCTCTAGGCATGCCCACCCCACACAATCCATTTTAAACTTGCCTAAAGCATCAGCAATATGTTTTTCCTAAGCCTATTCTAGAGGTGTACAGATATAGAGAAAAGAACCTAGAAGGACCCAAACCAAGTTAGGAGCAGTTACAGTGTTACTTTCCTTTACCTTACCTTGATTTCCCCCCCCTAAATAAACACCATAAGAAAAAAAGTCTTTTAGAAAGAATGCCACAGGACGACCTGAGTTACAGTCAAAGAATGGCTCCAAAAATAGAAAGTATCCAAAAAGCCCACCAAAACCCTGGGAACATGAGACCACTGAATACATACTACTGCTTACAGTATATTTAAGCTGCAAATGTTTTAAAAGGTTTGTCTGAGCATGCAATGGTCTGAGCCTAACAACTGGCCCTGTGCTTTCACTTCTGAAATAATTATTTCACAAAACACTGTGGATACCCCAGCCAACATTCCCTCTTATTTAAACTCTTCCATAGATTTCATAATCAAATGTGAACTGTCACCACTGCATCCTAGCTTATAAGCATCCTAGCTTATAGCTTATATACTTGCAGGAGACAGCGACTAATTGGCTCTAAACAGGACATTTCAATGACTGTCATTTCATGACTTACAAAGAAAATGTCAATTAAAGATAATAGGAGGGGCACCTGTGTGCTCAGTCTGACTTGATTTCTGCTTGAGACTCTCTCTCCCCCTTTCCCTCTGCCCCACTCTCTGCAAGCACTTGCCCTCTCTCTCTCCAAAATAAGTAAATAATTTTTAAAAATAAATAATAGGAGATCAGTTATCGAGACATAATATGTCTTATTTAAGCTGAAAGCTACGTCAACAATGAATCAACAAAGACTTGGCTTCTAACTTTCAGCAAAAGACCAACATAACTTTAAGAGTGAAATAGCATATTAAAACAAGGAAGAGATAATTGCTTTAGTTACCACTTTTTTAAAAAGATTTATTTATTTATTCTGAAAGAGAGAGACAACACATGCATGAGTTGGAAGAGGGGGCAAAGAAAGAGAATCTCAAGGAGACTCCCTGTTGAGTGGGGCTCCATCTCACGACCCATGATATCATGACCTGAGCTGAAACCAAGAGTTAGACGCTAAACCGACTGAGCCCCCCAGGCATCCCTTTAGTTAGTTAGCACCTTTGTAAAGAAATAAAAGGGGGACAAGGAAACCGCATTTCAAGCACAGTGCTAGATAATCTTCCTAGTAAATCTGAGATAAGAATTTCATCTTCCCCATTTCACAAATGAAGAAATTGAGGCTCAGAGAGGTTAAGTAACTTAGTCACAGTAACCACAGTCACATAGTGGCAAAAACCAACTCAAAACCAGGTCTGTTTCACAAGACTATACACGGTATGATTCTGTAATTCCACTTCTATTAGGTTCAAGAGCAGGCAAAACCATTCTATATGAAAGGAGTCACATCTAAGATGATATGAAACTTCCCTCTACTGGGTGGATATTGACTAGAAGGGGCACAGGCACCTTCTGGGGTACGGAAAATGTTTAATTCTGGACCGGGATGGTGGATAGACATTCAGGAGCCACACACATCATTAGAGCACTTCACACTTTACTGTATGCTATAGCTCAAGTTAAAGAAAAAAAAACTTCCTCATCAGATAGACTCCAAGTTCATACTCTTAACCGCTAAACCACCACTCTGACAGAACCTGGCCACACTCTAGAACTGATTCCCTCGGATAATATTTTTTAAAATTATTCTGGGAAGCGACGTACATCCTAATCACATCAGAGTGAAAACACTGGAACAATAAACCTGTTTTTATAATTTTTTTTTAAGATTTTATTTATTTACTTGACAGGGAGAGATCACAAGTAGACAGAGAGGCAGGCAGAGAGAGAGAGGGAAGCAGGCTCCCTGCTGAGCAGAGAGCCCGATGCGGGACTCGATTCCAGGACCCTGCGATCAGGACCTGAGCCGAAGGCAGCGGCTTAACCCACTGAGCCACCCAGGCGCCCTAAACCTGTTTTTAAATGCCACAGAATGAAAAGTAGAAAGTATCAACTTCCTGGCTACTGGGAATTTCCCCTCTGTAGCCACATCAGAATACAATTTTAAACCCTGCTCAAAGGGAATGTTCACAGATGCACAGAGAATAATTGTAACATCTATGGAAACACCTAAAACTAAAATCACACAAAATATTTCAAGACATGGTATAACTTTATCAACAATGTTCTCAAAAGAAATTTTGAATTTTGGGGCACCTGGCCGGCTCAGTCAGTAGGGCATGAGACTCTTGATCTCAGGGTTCTGAGTTTAAGCTCCACGTTAGGCATAGCGTCTACTTAAAAAAAAAAAAAAAAAAAAAAAAAATTAAAGGAAATTTGAATTCTGTTACAAAAATTTAAAAAGTCAAGGAGACAAAGCTGATGGGCAAAGAACATAAAAGTTCACAGCAGTGGCAACATACAATACATGCAAAATCTCAGCTCAGAGTTTTAACATACAGAAAACTGGTACAATTAACTTTTTCCAGCAGTAATGTAATTGTATCACATATGCCCGAATAACAAATTCTCTGTCAAGTACAAGTTCTTCCCACTGAAGTTCTGTTCAGACCAGCAAAGCCTCATCACCAGGTGATGATGAAATCATTACATCAATTTTCTTAAAGTCTTATACCACATACATTATACCTCTTATTCGAATGGTAATTGCCTCTCCAGAGAGAGGAATTTATTCATCCTACAATTTGCAGACATCTTTGGCAAGCACCTAGTTAACAGTTATCCCACCTTGAGGAGGAGTAGGAGGGAGGAAAGAGCTGTTCCTACACACCTGTTGGCTGTATGTGCTGTGGTTCTTCCTGGGTACTTTTGATGATGTCAGCCAGGAAACCAACTTTCAAATTACCCAACTTTCAAATTGTCAGAGCCCAGTTTAATTCATATTTTAACATTCTGTATACACTAAAATTGCCAGGCAATTGATTGCAATGATTTTAGTTCCCTCTGAGCATCTCCATATAAGACCCAAAGGCCTTTATGAGAATTTTCCAGTATTTATAACTTAGACACTACAACTGGGCATGTTGCAATATATTATATAACCAAGTATTATCCCAGGTGCAAGAATCTTAATGTTTATAAAAGTAACCATTGGCATTTATTAATTGTCAAAGTCTTTAACAAACTGTCCAATAAAACTGTTCAAAAAACTAAGTAAAGTCAAATATTGTGGCTATTAAGCAAGTTAGAAAGAATGAAAAGCACTGACCCAGTATGTTAAGAACAGAATACGCATCAGGCACATTCACAGCACTGGTCAGGATCCCTGAATTATGGTTCAAAAACAAACAAAAAACAAAACAAAACAAACCAGCATTACCAGAAAACATAAAAACTCGAAGTTTCAAAGTTTCTTTAAGAAACAATGGATTCATCTTTTTTCATATCCTGCATCGGCTAAAAAGCGTCATACATTTCTATCCAGAACATCCTAGCTATGTACCAACAACATATCATGTAAAGCAGAATGATCCTTTTTTTAAGATTCTCTTCATTTCCTAATATAACTCCCTTTTTTCCAACGCATCTCTAAAAAAGGCACACATTTGGGGGCACCCGGGTGGCTCAGTCTGTTAAGTGTTTGCCTTCGGCTCAAGTCATGATCCCAAGGTCCTGGAATGGAGTCCTCCGTTTGTCCATCCATCAGTGAGTCCGTCGGTCATTCAGTCCATTGGTTCACAAACTGGCAGGCTGCCTGCTCAGCAGGGAGTCTACTTCTCCCTCTCCCTCCCCCTGCTTGTGCTTCCTCTCTCATTCTCTCTCTCCCCAATAAAATAAAATTTAAAAAATAATAATAAATTAAAATTAAAAAGGCACACATTTGAACAAATTGTATAATGAAAAATCAACCATGAATTATCAGTTCCACTTTCCTATTTCAGCAAAACTGCAGTATCTTAGAATTGGAGAAAGCTAAATTGTGTTTTTTTAACAAGGAACTCTTCAAAACTACATGCCATTACTTAGCTATCCATCAGAAACCCAGGAAAAAAATCATTAATTGTTACAAGCATATTATGCTTATTTTCATGAAAAGGTTACTTCATTTCTTGGATTTTAAAAAGGTTTATCTGCATCTGCCAAATCTGGCTGATTTCAGTCTCAGTCAGACCAATCTAAATGGTTCCCAGTTACTGTTTTTGGTAAAGGGAAGTTGATGCCTAGAGGAACTTCCATACTGATTACACAATGACCACCACTCATTAAGTGCTTCTTAATTCCCATGATGCAGAGCCAGGAGTTTCACAAACATTATCCTATTTGTCCTCAAAAACAATCCTGCAGAGCAGGCGCTTCCAAAACCCGTTATGGAAAATACGGCTGGGATGATCAACCTGCCCGAGGTCACAGAATCATATGTGGCAGATTCAAGACCAGTGAACAGTGAGGGTGGGAACTTGGAACTTTTATGCAGAATCAGGCCTTTCATCAACACACATGAAATTAAGAGCAGTGAGACCCTGCTGTTGGGAGATGGCCAAGGGGAAAGCAGTATTTCAAACTGAACAAGTTATTTCAAACGTTAGAGCCAAAGATACAGACATTCACAAAGCTGGGCAGGGGGATAGGTTTACCCCTGTAGAGAATTCTATAGTGTTCTGTACTTCCCTGGTCTTAAAATCTAATCTAAGAGACCAGGGACTGTGTGTGTAACACTCTCCCAAATTCCACCAGGCTTAATAACCTCTATTCAAAAGAAAGAGAAGTGAAAACTAGGGCAGTGGGAAGAAATGATCGCCCAAGCCTGTCCTCCCACCAGGGTAAGCTGTCAGATCCGCATGGGCGCAACCAGGAGACAGCTGGGCTCGGGAGCCCTCAGACTGGGTTAGGCTCGATCTCCCCCCACCCCCCGCACCCCGCCTTCCTGCTCCCGATCCTGACCCTGTTGACCACCTCCCGAAGCAAAATACACCGGAAGAATTTGTTTTAACAAGTAGACGCCCATATTCACCAACTGGTTTGGCAATCTACGATCTACAGCAAGGCTCCAACAAGGGAGGGGCAGAAGAATATGGTATAATTGTTCTAAACTATCTTTCTACGAAATTGGGAAGGTTCACGAGGCATGAGTGATAGGGGAGCAAAGACAAACACCCCATCCCTGAGTTTTAAGCAGGAGAGGGAGCCTCCTCGCCACCCGGGCTTACAATGTATTAATCTCAGAGATAAGCTTTCATGCCCTGACACTCGTAGGGAGATAATGGGTTCTGGGGCTCCCCGGTCCTAAATGAAAAATATCGTGGCCTGGATATTAAGGTGACTTGATTTTACTACCTCCAGGAGGGTCCGCCTACCGTTCCGGGGCAGCCTCCAGGATCTCCGCCCGCGGGGTCCCACCGAGCGCCCCCACGCCCCCCCTTCCAGCGAGGTGTTTGGCCAAGGCCTGCCTCACAGGCTCCGGGCAGCACCCACCCATCCCCCTCCCCAGGTCTCAGACAAGCAGCCTAGTTAATCATTCAACGCCAGCGGCGTGAAACAATTTTTTAGAGGTCAACGAGAAAGGTTCTCCCTAAGTTTCACAGAAACCAGCCTTCGGGGACCCGGAGGTGGCAGCGGTAGGCAGATGGGGGGGTGGGGAGCGGCGGCGGGCGGCTCTTTGGCTCACAAAACACCTGATCTCCCCATGCGGCAACCGAGACCAGCGCAGTGCCAGGGTGGGGTGACGGGGTGCGAGTGAGAAATCACACACGGCCCCCTCCCCAAAACGCCCGTGGAAGCCAGGTGAGGACGCCGGCCCCAGACGCCCCTTCCCAAAGCCTACATCATCCCGGCACGGGCTCCCCCGGAAGTTGGGGTGCAGCGAGGAGGAGGGATGTCCCAGGGCCCCGTGGGGGTGGGGGTGAAACAGGACAAGAGACTAAAAAGACATGCTGCTCCTGGTTTCGCTATCCTCTTCCTCCAGGGTAAGGAAGCCGGAGGGAAGGGGGGACGCCTAAATGCGGCGGGAGCCACCCGGGCACGGTTTCCTCCTGTGGCGCGCCGGTACGAAGCCGGAACCGGCGAGGAACAGGACTGCGAGGGAGAGGAGTCAGTGCGGAGCAGGGGGAAGCGCGAAGCAGAGATGGAAAGGAGGTGGCTCGGGCTGTAGGAGACGCTGGGGTAGGGGAAGAGGGGCGGGAGGGGGCGCGAGCGCACACCCGCCCCGGCCCTACCTTGTCCGGGAGCAGCTCCTGCTCAGCGGGGCGGGGGCGGGAGATCCCGGCCGCATCCACGTCCCGGCCGCTCGGCGCGGCTCAGCCCGGCGACCGCCGCCGGTCCCGCTCCATACGTTGCTCCGCGACGGGAGGCCCGGGGGTGTCGGCGGCGGGGGAGTCACCGGCACCGCTTGTCTCCAGCACTTGTTGCCGCCACCACCACTGCGACTCTCACTCCAGGCTCCAGCTCCCGGCGCCGCCGCCGCCGCCTCTGGGCTCCCGGGTCCGGCCCCGCCTTCACCCCCGCCCGGCGCGCCAATCAGGCCCGGCACCACCCCTCACGTCACCGCCCAGCCGGGCCCGCAGCCTGGCGCCCCAAGTTTGGGGAAGGCCGAGCTCCAGCCTGTCTGCCAGTTGGCGCCCGAGATTTGCCCAGGCTGGTGCTCCTCCTAGCTTCCAGAGACCCTCCGGGGCCTCCAGGTCCACACGTGGAAAGTAAAGGGTTAAATTGGGGGAAGGGGCCCCCAGGAAGTAGACCTCCTCGGAAGAACAGGACAGTTCGACCCTATTCCAACCCCGGTCTAACTGAAATCTCTCCAATTGCAGGTCGCCCCTCTTGCGGTGCGCCTAATGTTGGGGGACTAAGCCTATAGCCTGGGTAGGACTCCAGTGACCTTTTCCAGCCAGAACCAGTTTGTAACTGGGCCTAGACTGGACCACAGCCGGCGTTCTAGTGCTCGGGTGCGTGCACCCCTGCAAAACCCGGAGTTCCACTGGGGAAGGGGGAACCAGGGCCAGAGTGGGACTTGACCATTGCTCTCTGCCCACCCAATACTTGCCATCATCTCTTAGATCCCCCCAAATAACGCCCTAGAGCTCAAGGCCTACACTGGTGCCCTACTTGGCACTGCCACCCGATCTTCGAATTTGTGAAGCTGCCCAGGAACTGGTGAGGGGGAAGTTTTAGTTCTGCTCCTTGTGGTGTCTTAGAATTTCCTCGAGGTTCCACGCGCGTCTTGGAAGCCAGAAATGCAAGGTGTCCAGACGCTGCGCCTTCAACCCGCGCCGCCGCCCAGAGGGGCAGGGCAGACACCTAGGAGCTGAACTCTGACACACACCTTCGGCTCCCCACTACCGGGTGAGGACTTGTCATCTACGACGCCCGCCGGCCGAAACACCTGGAACCACAGACGCACCCTTAGCCCAGCGCCCCTGCTGGCTCGCCAGAGCACTGCATTTTAAGGTGAGTCCCTGATTCTGGACCCAAGTTTGGGGGCCCCAGGTAAGCCTAGCGCAACCGGATGGAGAGGTTGCGCAGGTCTGAAAGGCTGGGCGCAGCCAGCTTGTCACGCGCGTGCCCCGTGGGGAGGCAAGTTTGGCCCGAGGCCCATCACAAAACACCTCCGTCTGTTGGTCCTTATCTCTTCAGGAAGAAAGAGATCCCCTTTACGTGACCAGACCGACCAGACCCGGCAATTAAGGACACTCCACCTTCAAATATGTGCATTTTTCAGAAGGCTTTCTGAGGAGGAATTAGCCGAAGGGGAAAGAAATGTAAATGTAGGGATTTCGGGCACCTAGGAGTTCAGCCTTTTCGACTGTGGGCCCTTACTCTGATCCGAGCTCCGAGCAAAAGAATATTTTGCAGCTGGATGCACTGAGCCACGTGGGTACATGCTTTTAAAAACAGGAATTCGGAGTCAGACCTGGGAAAATTTTTATTTTCAGCCTTCAGACCTTTTTGCTTTTATGTTGATCCCATGATTCTCCTAAGACTGAAACATGAAAGTTCAAGAAACAAGTTGGATTTTGTATATTCATAGAAAAACAAAAAGGATGCACACTGACTGCTAACCACGGGTATCCCAAGTGTGGGATTGGAGTGTGGGAAGGAGGGAGATGAATTTTACACCCTTATACTGACTCTGCATTTTGTATTTTTCCAGTTATATTAACTGTCACAATTTAGAAAGGTAATAAAACATTTTTTAAGAAATATAGAAATTAAAAATTCTTCAAGAACTCTGGAGAAAGTATAAATTAATAAACAAACGAAGCCTCTGCTTTCATTCTACATCAAAGTAATTATTCCTGAGTCCATGTTCCTTGGTTTAAATAAAGATATCTCTAGGCTGCTGTTCTGATTAAATGTTGTGGTGGGGCAAGACTGACATCTGAAGATTTTTCTGTGCTGTCAGATTGACATACTGTTTCTATGCCCGTGTGTCTTCCCTTTAAATGGGTACCCGGTAGCCACAGACATACCTTCAGCTGCCTGCCAAGGAGTTTTTAGTAAAGGAACTGCTACAGTGTAAGTTGGGATCCAACAAGGAAGTTAAGCTTGTGTCCTTTGTATCTGCCCAGGCCCCAAAATTTAAAAATAAGGGCATTCTCTCCATCCTGCCATTAATTAATGCAGCTGGGAGTGTATCTGTAACAGTTAACACTGTTCCTTTGGGGGAATTACTCAACACTAAGTTCCACACCCACTTGGCTGTAGTCTTTACTCTTGGGTTGGGGCCTGGGTCTGTCATCAGTAGGTAAAGATGTATTACTTATTTATTTAACAAATACATGTTGACACTGGAGTGGTGACCATGACAGACAAACTCTTCCCTCTTGGAGCTCACAGTTTAGCTGGAGAGAGACAGCTTCACAATTCAATGCACTGTCAATTATATAACTGGCAATTGCAGAAGTTCACGGTGGTGGGACCATTTGGGGGAGTCCAGGAGGAGGTGACATTTGAGTTGAGCTCTGAAGGGTGAGGAGGACTTACTCAGGCAAAGAGATGAGTGGAACAGAGTTCCTGGCTGGTTTATACTGCAAGGGGGATGTGGTTGAGGGAGAAGTTGGAGAGGTAAGCAGGGGCTGCATTTTGCAGGGCCTTGAATACCATTTTCTATAAGATCACTCTGACCAGATGTGAAGAAGGAAAAGGGTAGAGGGAAAAGGGGGATTGAGGGATAATTAGGAGGCAGTTGCTAAAATGTAAATGAAAGGGCTGTTTATCTAAGTGGTAAAGCAAATGGAGAGAAGAATACCAGCAGGATTTGGTGATTGCTTAATTAGGGAGGAATCAAGGAAAACTCCCAGTTCTCTGTTTCTTCAACCAGAGGGACAGTGGTGCCATTTTCTCAGTTGGGGGACTCTCAGGGAAGAGAACTGAGAAAACCTTCCCAAGGTTCACATTTGGTCAAGGTGGGTCTGAGGTGCCTGTGAGGTGTCCAAGTGAAGATGTTGAGTAGGTTGTTGGTTGTAGGGTCCTGTTCTCTGAGGGGAGGCTGAAACAGAGGTAGTAAATAGCAGTGGTAATAAAGCCAGGAGAATAAGGTGGTCTCCCAGGAGAGTATAGAGCTTGACCGGAAGAGGGCCTAGGACTTATCTAAAGGCTGGACAGAGGCAAATTACTGGCAGATGAAGTGGAGCAGTTGCCAGAGAGGTAGGAAGAAAATTAGGAGCTTGGGGAGGTAGGGATTTCCCAGGGAAAGAACATATAATAAGGAGGCAGTAGTCAACAACACTCAAAATGGCTGAGAGACCCAAGGGAAATGAGGACTAAACAGCCACTAGATTGACTGACCTTGGTGTCACTGGGGAGTTTCACGGAGCAGTGACTCGTACAGTGAAGGGCAAAGAGATAGACTGTAGTGGATTGAGGAGTGAGTGAGAGGTGAAGAAATGAAGAAAGGTACTTCATGCAGACAGAAAAGTTTGAAGGGTCAGAGAGAAAAACAGCTGGAGAGGAAATGTTATGTCAGCAGTGGGTTTATGATAGAATAACTTGAGTGTATTTAAATGCCCATATGGAGGATCCTATAGAGAAGAGGAAGATGAAGGTATAGCAGTGAGAGAACAATAGACAATAAAGTTTCCTGTGACCATGGGAGAGGACAGAACCAGAGTATGGGTGGAAAGGCTAACCTCATGCAGGAGGCTACCTCCTCTATTATAACGGGAGGGAGGAAGTTAGAGGAGGACTGAAGTAGGCAGGTTTGGTGTGGGACATAGAATCCTTCCACAGGATAACTTTTTCTTGCTCTGTGACACACAGGAGGCTGGGGTTGGGGCAGGGAGAGCTGACAGATTTGAAGAGAGTGGAGAAGGTGTGACAGAGTCATTGCGGAAAGTGGGCAGGTTGGGAGGTGGCAAGATGATAAGGCAGCATGGCAAGGCAGCATGCAACCCACTTGAGGTTGGTGGTGTGAACTTATAAGGTACCCTTTGACTCTCCTGTGTGATTTCTTCCAGCAGGGCTCAGGTGTCTGCTCTGGTGCAGGCTCAGGTGGGAAGAGGAGCAAATTCCTTTTGCCAAGGAATTGAGAACCTTGGCAAAAGTGAGGTTGACATAATGAATGATAAGAGAGAAAGGACAGAAATTAATGGGCTGGAGGTGTCAAAGGAGTCAATGTTTAGTCGTGTTGGAAGAAGAGGAGGTTGCTGACTTGGGTCAGCAGTCTGGATGCTTAAGTTAGTGGCTCAGGAGGTGGAGAGCTTTAGATCATGGTGAAGCTAGGATATGATAGGGGAGAGTAGAGGAGAAAGTCACTAGAGAATATGAGGCCACCAAGGGACTGAGAGGCAGGGTATCAGATAGGTCATCCATGTGGGCAGTGAAGCCACCCAGGAAGATCTGGGTAGGAATTAAAGTCAGGGTCATAGTGTGAAGGTTATGGATCTGGGAGCTAAAGTCATAAGAAAGTGAAGAAGGAGGAGGAACCAGGAGGTCGGAAGATGGGAACCACCAGAAAGGAAGAGGAAATATGGCTAGCAGCAGTCTCCTCAAGAGTGGAGGAATAAGGGCGCCTGGGTGGCTCAGTGGGTTAAGCCGCTGCCTTCGGCTCAGGTCATGATCTCAGGGTCCTGGGATCGAGTCCCGCATCGGGCTCTCTGCTCAGCGGGGAGCCTGCTTCTCTCTCTCTGCCTGCCTGCCTCTCTGTCTACTTGTGATCTCTCTCTGTCAAATAAATAAATAAAATCTTTAAAAAAAAAAAAAAAGAGTGGAGGAATAAGAGTGTTTATAAGAGGTGGAGGAGAAATAATCAGAGAAAGAGGACTAACCCCACCTCTGGGCCCTGGGGGACACACAGATGAAATAGTGAGCACCTTCATCTCCTAGAGCTTCAGGGAAAGCAAAGAAGGTGGGATTTCATTCTGAGTAGAGCTTAAAGATATATGGAAGGGTGGATGGAGCAACCTTCAATTCGGTTTGCTTGTTGAAGTCTACAGTCCCAGAGGATTACATAAAAAGATTTGGAGGGTGGGAGTGAGTAGAGGTGGGAGGTCAGATGCCAGGAAAAGCAAAGGATTGTGCCAGATGGTGGCTAGAGGATCCATGAGAGAATGATAATAGAAAGAGAAATGAGTGGTCTCTGTGAAGCCTGACCCCATAGCTCTATAAGCCAGGGCAACATCCCCCTCACTTGTTTTGCCCCAAGATTTCCATCAGGGAAGGGCATGTGAGGCCTCCCTTCTCCTTCCTCCTCTTCTCCACTAGAGATTTTTCTGTCAACACATGAGCTCTTATGGGACTCTGGCCACAAGTCAGGAATCCCAGGCTTATCTCACCTCTGCTACTCACCTTGCCTCTTCCTCAGGCAGGTTGTTGACCTCTCCTGTCTCAGTTTCATCGTCTGTAGACGCTAAAACACACACACTTCTCAGGACAATTATAAAGAGTGGAGACAAAAACTTAAGTAAAAGCACTTTCTAGGGGCACCTGGCAGCTCTGTTGGTGGAGCATGTGACTCTCTATCTTGGGGTCATGAGCTTGAGCCTATGTTGGGTGTAGAGATTAGTTTAAAAAATAATTTTAAAAAAAAGCACTTTCTAAACTGTAAATCACTGTAGGGATGTGAGTGATTTCCCTTGTCCAGAACGCCCTCACCTACATCCATATCTCTCCCAGGAGCCCTCTCAAAAAGACTGTGAGTCTCTGCTCTGGAGGAAGCTGTAATCTTGCCCAGAGACAGGACAAACACACCCAAAACAATTAGAGAGGAATGCACAGCTGTGTCTGATTAAGTGCTAAATTGTAAGGTGCAGACAGTAAGAGCTCTGAGATCAGAAAAGAGAACAATTAGCCAGACTTGGGAAAGTCTGGGAGGCTTCCTGGAGAAGGTGGGGTGAAAGGCACCCAGGCTACTCACTGAAGCTGTGAAGAATACTGGCAAGTGCCCATTCCTTTGTGGCTGCAAAGATTGTCAGTCTGGCAGTCTGACATGGGTCCGCAAAAAGCTTCTAGGTCACAGATGCTCTTTTGGTACCCCTGCTGCCCAGCCTGTTGTCACCCCGATAGCCATGCACCTTCTAAATTACAGTCCTTTGTGGGCCCCCCCCACCCCACCCCTGATGGCTGGGCAGCCTGGGCAACACAGCAACATGTGTGTTCTTTGCCCTGGGCCTCTCATGTTTAGGTCTCCCTTGTCCCCTGTTTGCCTGGGGAAGAAACAGAGGTTGATCTTTAGCAAATTTCCTGGACCATCCTTGGTGCCAGCACACATCTAGCATTTTTGCCTGGCCAGACCACAGGCTTTGGAAGAGAAATGCTGCTGTTTGCCTCACTGTACCCAGCCAGCCTGGGGGACCTACATGACCACCAAATCAAAGCCCAGCACCGGCCCCACACCTGCCTCCATTCCTCTTTACTGCCTCTGCTTCATGGCCCAGGAGTACCCATAAACCCACCATTCGGATACCACCCCACAGAGCTGCCACCCTAGAGCCCGAGAACTGCAAGGCCGGAGATGCCTTCAGCCTCTGGGGCTGTATCAGAGCCACAGGAGTCAACTCCTGCAGCCCTCTGGACAGGTTCAGAATGAAGGCCCTCTTCCTTAGTAACTAGCCTGGTTGGTGCCCAAGCTCTGTAATTCTCTCCTCCCTTTCGCACAGATCTGGAAAAGATCCCATCATGCTTCAGGGGCAAGCAGACACAGGCAGCAGCCACAGCAGAAATCCCTAAATGTTGTATATGATATGGACTTGGGTTGCTCCAGAAGGACAGCAGTGTTTTGTGAATCTGTTAGTCCCAGTTGGGGCCATAAACAACAACCCCCTCTGTCAATAGCTAAAATATTAATTACTAATGGAAAGTATGGAATCTTGGCACTGGAATTCTTGGAGCTCCAGTCCAAATCCCTTGGAACTGACAAATGAG